TTCAAATGTTTATTCATCTCGTGGTGAATTTGAACTAGGAAGAGATATTTGACATAGGCAAATAAACAAATTAAAACACAAGGTCAAAGTAGGATTATCATGGACTGAAGTAAATGGTGAATTAGTGGTAAAAAAAATTTTTTTTCTAAACAACATTACGATATAATTCATGAAACTATCGAGTATAGAAAGAATTCAACAAAAAAAAGATCTTTGTGGATGTATTTTACATGCATTCGAACTATCAATATCTGGACCAATCAACCTGAAAATAGTAGCTAGCTTTTAATAATCTCTCTGAGAAATTAGTCAACATCGACTTTTAGCCGTATTATATCCTTATAAGAAGAAAAAAGTAAAATCTACCAAGTAGAAATAATGACCGTTTGCCTTCTAATCTATTATTCAAATTTTTTATAGAATATACCAAAAAGGTAGATTATCGGCAACTGAAAAAAAAATGCAATATTTAAAATATTGTTTATTGTCTATATATTGAGGTTATGTAGTGAAACAAGGATGAAAAGCGACATATTTTTTTCGGTTTATGAGGATTGATTGCTGGCAAGTTCAATCACTGAAAATTTCTTTAAAAAAATGGCGCTCATATTATAAAGTTGCTTATCAATATAATAATAACAAAGCTTTATCAAAAAAGGGGTCTCATAGCCATTGCAGTTTTTGATGCTCTTTCGAACAAAAAAAGAAAACTATTTCACTTAGTATCAGATTATAGTTGACTTTCACTAGAGATCCGTTGTTCGAGCATCATTCTGAGAAAAAAACGAAAAAGATTTTTAGGTTTTTCGAATAGGGATTGTCAAAAAAAAATCTTGAAAACTTTTCGAAAAAAATTAAAAAGTTTTTATCTTTTATGAAAGAGCAAATGACAGGCTATCGCTCCATGTATATTTGTCAATTTCAATGATTCTGACGAAAAGTGACTTTTTTGAGGGGGACTTAATTAAAAATTAGAATGCACTTCGATCATATAGTTATGATAAGAATCTCAAATCCTGCTGTTCGATTATATGAAAAAACTTGTTTTTTTGGAATTTTGTATGTATCGTCGTCCTTATGGATAAACAGACGTTAAAATTTTTTTCAAGGGAACTTGTCCATGCTGTTCTATTCAGGATAAAATAAAATCTCATTTTGGACTGGCAAATGATCCATTCTTGATATAATTCATGTAAAATTTGAATGATCCTTCAAAATAGAAATATTTATTTATTTTTTATACAGACTAAATTTTGCTGTTTTTCTCATCAAGATACGATAATACTAAAAATTAAGTATTGACTAACGTTTTGAATGAGTAACATTACAAGTTAAAATATTCAAGTTCATTATGTTGCATATGAACAATTCGAATGCCTAAAAAAATACGAAAACACATTTTTTCGTTGAATGTCTCCTAAATTGTTATCATTCTTGATGCTCTTATAAAGACTTTTTTTGTAAGAATGTAGAAATTAAAAAGCAAAAACTGTTTATTTTTTTAGCAATTTAAAGCTCATGATCGTTTTCATCCAAGGTCATCAGAAATCTATGCTGAACTAGATCGATTATCTTCTGAATTAATTCAACATGGTCATGGACTTGATTCAAGTTGGATAACTCGTTCAATGAAAGAAGATGAAATTATTGAATCGGTTGTATGTGGACATAGTGAGAAATTAGCAATTGCATTTAATTTCATTCAACAACCTATTCCATCGATTATTCAAATTACTAAAAATCTTCGTGTCTGTGGTGATTGTCGTAAGTTAATTATATTTGTTTTCGCTACCTTAAATAATTATTTGATGATTATTCTTCTTAGATGAAGCTACAAAGTTGATCGCAAAAAATCGACAACGTCATATTATTGTTCGTGATGCTAATCGTATTCACCATTTCTATTCAAGTGGACAATGTTCTTGTCAAGATCATTTTTAATATTTTTTATAATAAACTGAAGGTTAAAAGATTATTTTTTTTTAATTTCATTTTTCATTAACTAATACAAATCTCAAAGATTTTGTCGTCAGTTTATTCACAAGATAATTCTCTACTGTACAAATACGTTTGATTTGTATTCTATACATTTTTTCTTAGTTAAACACCTTTCAAATAGTTCAAAGTTGACTGGACTAGATTCGATATTGCTCATGAAGCGTTTAGAATCAAGTGACGAAGAATTATCTAGCTCTCGATTTTTCATGATTACTCAAAATTTTCAATAAAAGGAATAGAAAACAATTCTTTTTTTTTACCAATATAAAATGTGGGTGTAGATATGACGAAAACACACGTACAAATACGCATACACTCATTATTAGATAATCCAAAGACAAACTATTAAACAAAAGTTGAAAAGTTTTATATATTTCGGTGAATATATATATATGGATAAATAAGCGGGAAAAAAGCAAAGTTTTATTGTCTATTGAAATTTTTTTTTTATTTTAATTTACAAATATTCAAATGAAGGAGGATAAACAACACACAATGATATTTGATTATATCAAAACTAGCAAAGAAGCTTATATGACATTTCTATAGATGAATGTCTTTCAACAACAAAGACTTTTCCAAAACTGCAATGTTATTCATTTAAGAAAGGATTGACTATATTAAACAGATTAAAAATTACTAACCAGGGAATCTCGCGAAGTGATAAATCGCTTTTGAACTGAGACTTCACTCTTCACCTAGGTCCTATTGAGACTAGAAAAAGCCTGGAATGATTCGTGCCCATGAGTCTTTTCTTTCGAGTTATAGTCATTTTACTGCTGTTTTTGATCTGTTGTAGAATACTGGAGACCAAATTGAAAGAGGATATTTTGACCTGAATTTTTGCCCATAGAAAGCTCTCATAATAGTTACAATGCACTAAAAGTTTCAACAAAAAAAAACAACGTTTCGTCCCTGAGATGGTGCGTTTTCAAAAAATCTGACCTTTTGACTCTTCGGTTAAATATGTGCTTTTTTTAGAAGACCATTATCTCGGGAACAAAAAGTTCTTTTTCACTGGAATTTTTGGCATATCGTAACTATTATGAGAGCTTTCTATAGGCAAAAACTCAGATCAAAATACCCTCTTTCAATTTGGTCTCCAATGTCCGACAACAGAACAAAAAAAAGCAGCAAAATGACAATAACTCGAAAGAAAAGACCCATGGGCACGAGTCATTCTAGGCTTTTCCTAGTCTCAATAGGACCTAGATAATGAGCGAAGTCTCAGTTCAAAAGCGATTTATCACTTCGTGAGGTTTCCTTGTAAGATAAACTTGTATATATGTTCAATAAAATATTATTCTATAAATACCAAAACTACTTCTAGCAATTATCAATTCAATTCGTTCTTTCAAACAATGATTCTTTTCATGATTTTGTTTACAGAAAATAAACACCTGTTTCATTTCATCTAAATCAGTATTGGTTTATTTTCATTAATTAATACTGAAGAATCAAGATCATCCAGATATATTATGTAAAATTTTACTTACAAAAAATAAATACAATAGGTCATCAGTCTTGTTTGCACGACACTTAATCTTATAAATTAACTATTTAATTCAGCATTATGATGCTTATTAAGTTAACTTTAAAAAAAACATCTCATATTGGTATGATATAATAGTCTGACCTATCTGGTAATTGCTTTAAGGCTTCTCTACTCCTTAAAAATCTATTTTCGATCGAGTATATTCAAATTATATGAAACATTCAGTTCTATCCTATTCGATCCAACATCCAGTGCTTTACTTGTGAAATGTCATTTTGTTTAAAAGATGAAAAAAAAATTGTTTTTTTGTGGAACTAACGTATATTTTCGAAGAAAATAGTGAGTGTAAGTTTTCAGTTCGAGGTTTGTCGGCTCCCTCCTCGCCTTCCCCATCCCATTACAGACACTTAGCAACGAAGAAAGAGAACATTACAGACAGGTCACCATTACAGACCTCAGCAACCGCGCATAAAAGGCTTTAGATTCTATATAATATATCAATGCTTTCATAAATATTCGAAAAAAAGCTATTTTGAAGTTTAAAAATCAGGCAACAGAATAACAAGTTTAAAAGATATACGTGAGTTCCACATTTCAGCTCCTTTAGAGCTGCACTAACAAGCTTTTTTGATTATCGTAACATATGGGTGTGTGGTGTGGGTGTGTGGTGTGGGTGTGTGGGTGTGGATGTGGGGTGTGGGTGTGGGTGTGGGTGTGGGTGTGGGTGTGGGTGTGGGTGTATGGGTGTGTGGGTGTGGGTGGGTGGGTGTGGGTGTGGGTGGGTGGGTGTGCGTGTGGGTGTCTTATCGTCATACACACCCACACCCACCCGTTCCCTGCTGCCTATGTATGTATGATCTGATCTTCTTCAGAATAGCACTTCTCAAACTTGTACAACATCTCACTAAAGTACATGGAAAAGTTTTATTCTATGAAGTTATATAAAAGAAAAATAGGTCGCACTATACTCGCAATATGAAAACCTAATTCATTTTTAAAACAACGCTGTCCGACCAAGGGCAAAATTTTCTCTAATGTTTTCGAGCCTGTCTTCTAACTATAGGAGAAACGCCCAGTCACCAAACTTTTTTAACAATACATCCTAGAAGTCTTGAAGAAAACTCTAGAAGATCATGCCCGGAGAATCGAGCTTTCATAGAAGCCATCGTATTTTTTAGAAAAATGATTCTGATATTCATAAACCACTCACTGATCCGCATCGATGCATATATATCTCATGATGGTTCAATGAACTTTTCTTTTTTCTTTCAACGTAAACTAAGTCCATAAATCTACCGTTAAGGACTATTCAAATCTTACGAAAACTTTGCATGCGATCGAACACAAATTTTTTTCAGATAATCCTGAATATGCCCCCTAACAATAGACGAAGTGCCAACTCATAATATAACAAGCACAGAATTTTGGAGAGACTTTGCAAAACCATGCATGATTCTGATCGGCAACCGGGCTTTCTGAAAATCTGTTTTATTTTCATAAAATACTGAGTTAACATTCAGAATCGGCTAATCAATCCTCATCGAACGATATATAGATGAAAGGTGCTTGTAGAGCTTTTAGTTTTTTTAAAAATGTTTTACTAGGACAAATCAAGTCCGACAAGATCCCGTTTACGACTACCTTAATTGTAAGAACGCATCAAGTGCGATTGAGCGCATATTCACATCGGATGATACCACTTATGTTTCCTACCTATTGAAGAAGTTTCAATTCATGAAATTATACTAGAGGACTTCCGAGCGGATTGCCAAAAAACCAGCTAGATTTTTGTAGAAACTCTGGATTCCCGAAGCTATGTTTTACTTTCTTGAAAAACTAACGTAAGATACCATTTCAAATGAGATAATCAATCCGCATCGAATGTTATATGTATCATGTTGCTTCAGGGCATCTTTGATTTTTCGGAATTTTTTTCTCACGAACTGGTGAGTACGTTTATTATAGAAAAGGACCATTTTAGGCTCATCTTCCAATAAGGTGCCTCAAGCCATTCTACAACGGCCCAGGCCAATTCTTTCATGTACTTGGCGTAGATCCTCTGAGCCACAAGAACTACACAGAGAGCTAAATTTTTTATCACAGTGAGTACTCAATGAGATCTATCTTTGACCTAAATTTCAGCTCTTTAGCATGATTCATTCATGTAATATGTATATGCACAAAATACCATAAAATGACAGTGTTGTCTAGCTTCTGATGGTATCGGTCAACTCATCAACGGTTCATTCATTTTTCCGCTCAATTTTTGTTCGACTAACACTTCAGCCTGAGATGTACTCACACTGGAAATTTCAAATCTAACGGATGCATCCTTGATGAGATATGAATGCCACAGAAAATCACAAAAGATGTGCTTTTTGAGCGGCAGTGTCCTCACGAAAGTTTAAATATCTTGAGAACGATACAACATTTTTTCGAACGGCTTGGGTAGAAATTCACCAGACACTTACCCCCATAACATATATAAAAACTAACCATATCGGTGATCATTGATTGAGCATGATCGGTCATGGCTAATACGGATTGCGTCTTATGTCTAAAATGTATATATCTTGCAATTCGAGTATCTCTATCCAGACTCGCCATCAGCACGTCATATTTTATATTTGCCATTTTGGCAGTGAGACCTTTGATTTGATCCGAATATCTCCAATTTCCGTGACTCACAGTACGCTACGTTCCATTATCAGTATTTTGAATTTTTCTCAGTGATAACGCCCACTAAAAAGTACAAAGTAAAATGCACTTACTTTTATATGCGACAATGAGTTCTCTTCTTTTCTTTCTTGTCTCCAGCAAAACAAGCTGACACGTTACAGCTAACTCCAAAACGTGCACATCTTAACTTTGTCTTGTTCTCTTATCTTATCTTGTGTGCTGCTTGAAAACACTCACTCATTTATATATAACACAAGACAACGAAAAAATGAGTGAAACCTCCTACTCCAAACTTGTGCAATCAACAGCATCGCTCACGAATGAAATTTTTAATCTATGTCGAAACGGTTTACTTGAGCAACTCGAAACTCTATTAAACACAGTCAAAACATCACTACCTCTCAATGAACGAGTAACTTTTCGTCCTACTGACTTGCTCTTACTTTTCACTACACACTCATTGACTTCACTTATTATTGCATCACAGAATGGACATGCTAATATCATTGAATTTCTATTGAAAAATTATCGATCTCAAATTGATGTTGAGAAAGAAGGAACAATCAATTTTGATATTCTCTCTAGTGAAGATTACAATCTGACGGCATTGTGGATTGCAACAACTGGAAATCATTTTGAATGTGTACGTCTGTTAGTTGAATTGGGAAATGCAAATGTCAACTATTGTACAACAAATACAAAAGTTTCAGTTCTACAGGCAGCAACTCAAACTGGAAATTTAGAAATGATAAAGTATTTGAAAGAAAAGGGAGGAAGTTTAGAAGTACAGAATAGTGATGGATTTACACCGTTAATGGTTGCTTCACTTTGTGGTTACAAAGAAATTGTTCAATATTTATTGTCGAGTAACGAAGACTCTCTTGTAACATTAAATCTTCAAGAGAAAGATGGAAGAAGTGCACTCCATTTTGCAGTTATTTCTGATCAGTTAGAAATAGTTAAACTTATAAATGAATCGAAGTATGTTGACAAACAGTTGAAAGATAAAGAAGGATTCACTGCACTAGTAACTGCTGCAGTCACTGGAAATGACCTCATTTTTGATTACTTTATCGAACAACATAATGCAGATGGTAGAGCACTCGTTCAAATTATTGAAGAACTGGAGCTAGCTGGAAGTTCGTGTGGTGTAATTGGTAAGAATGAGGACCAGGAAGAGGCTGACGATGATGATGACCGCAGTGACGACAGTGATGGCATGATCTCTAACTCAGAAAAAGTGTATCGTTGCTTTCTATACGCAATGAAATTACGTTTTACAAGTGTAGCAGCCGATGAAACAATTGAAAAAGTCAATCTTCGATCAATACCAATCGACATCTATGAAAATCGTCGGGAATGTAAGACAGTCGATGAATTAGAAGCAATAATAGGTGATAAAAATGCACTGAGACTAGAGTGTCTCTTGGTTTTGGAACGACTCCTCGGCGAATTATCTATAGAGCATATTGATGCATTGTACAAGCAAAGCAATGTCTATGCTGAACAGAAAAAGTTTCGACGTTGCCTTCAAATGTGTATGTATGCCAGACGTCTAGAAGAACGTCGTAAAGAACCATCCCAATCTTATTCACAGCGTTTACTCTACATTGCTGTAATCATGTCTACAATTGTACAAAGACCAGCGAATACGATGGAAGAACTTGAGTCAAATGATTATTTGGAATTGTTCAATGCAGTCATTGGTGAACTGAAAAAGAACCAAGCAGATGAAGGAAGAGTACAAATGGAACTCGAAACTTTTCAGGCTGCCATGTCACTTATTTGGATAGCAACGAAGGTAAGGGATGATTTCTTGTTTTGAAAAAAACCTTTTTCCTTTCTTTCTCACTCTTTCTAGCTTCTGCCATTCAAATCAAAAGATGAACAGGAATCTATCCTACAAATTATTCGTAAATTGAATCGTTATAACTTTCAATCAACAGTAGATAAATCATCATTTTTACATTTTTCACTGTGTGGAGAATCGTTTGTCGATTTATTCGATGAAACAATTCAACTTTTACTTCAATGTGGTGCCTCACCGAATCTGTTTGATTTCAATGGGAATACACCGTTGCATTATCTTGCTGCATTTTCCCCAGATTCGGAAAATTGTAATTTATATAAGGTACGAACAATTTTGGATGAACTTGTTAAAGCGGGAGGACATATGGATTATAGAAATACGGCTGGAAAAATACCGGCAGAGTGTAGTTTGAACAAGAATGTTCAAGATCTCTTTCGTCGTCAACAACAGTTGTGTTTGAAATGTTTGTGTGCTCGAGTGATTAAAGGAAGAAAAGTAAGTTATGATGGTGTTGCTGTTAATGGAGGATCGACTCTGTCAAAAGATTTAAAGAGATTTATTGAACTACATTAGCTACACACTGATGTTCGCTTTTTTAAACGATTTTTTGATTCTTTGAAATAAATTAATAATAAGTTTACTTTTTTTTCGCTATCAATTGACTCTTTAGAACGAGAAAAAATTAGACTACACTAAAACGAAGTTCGACTAACTGACAAAGTTTTCAGGGGAATAATTACAGCTAACAAAGAAAGGTTCCCAAGTGTGTCCCTGAAATTTCAGTTGAGATTGCATGGGTTTGCTACATCAGGTGCCCTGATGTCAAGTATGAAACAATTAACGGCCGAGGCTTCTTCAATATGAAGTTGTAGTCAAAACATTTTTCCACTACTTAATACATACATACAGCGACATATTTTTTCTAAAGTACCGTAGACCAAATGTCCCTAATATCGACAGCAAAAAATTGTCTTATCTTGTTTGAGTCCATGCACAGCTACTTTATATATGAGCTAAAATACTTTTATAAATGCATAATCCCTGAATTCTGCTCTTTCAAATGGTATGTAAACGACCTTTTTTCTTCAATCTTCTCACGGAGAAATTAGCGGCCTACGATGATGAATTCCATCTGTCGTTGTTGGGAGCACTTTCCCTAATTTCGACAGCAAGCCATTTTTCTCCCTCATTTCGACACATCATTACAAAGCTAATATAAAACCTCTCAGCGCAACCCTGCGGAATTAAAATGTGAAACACGAAATAGCTGCTGTAATGGGTGAGTGTGGGTGTGGGGTGTGGAGTGTGGGTGTGGAGTGTGGGTGGATGTGGGTGTGGGTGTGAGTGTGGGTGTCGAGTGTGGGTGTGTGTGTGTGAGTGTGGGTGTGGGTGTGGGTGTGGGTGTCGAGTGTGGGGGTGTGTGTGTGAGTGTGGGTGTGGGTGTGGGTGTGGGTGTGGGCGTGGATTTGTGGTTGCTGACCTTGCTCTTCTCTTCACCCCCACCCACACACCCACATCCTCACCCACACCCACACTCACACCCACCACACCCACACCCACATACCCACATCCACACCCACCCACACTCTACACCCACACCAACATCCTACACCCACACCCAAAAATCTACATCTCAAATTACATAAACAAAAGTCTGGATGTGAGTGAGTGTGAATTTGGGGTGTGATGCTGTGGCCGTGAGTGGAGATGTAAATGAACTCAAAAAGGACACTTGACATTCAGACCCTTGCCGAAATTTAGTGACATCTCTTTAACAATAGTGAATCAATGAACTATAGATTTTGTTTTTGCTTCTCTGGTTTTTTTTTACCAGTTCAGATTGTGTATAAGTATAATTCAAGCTGTATTCCCATTAAATGTAAAGAAACTTGTAAAACAATCCAAAGAGGTTAACGAAGTTTTCACTAATCAGGTAAGCTGCATCAGCATTTTACTTCATTCATTTCAAAAAGATATTTGGGAATAAGGCGACTGTTTAATAGCTAAAGAGAAGTTTTGAGTGGCGTAGATCTCACTCTGTGTCACTGTACACATGTGTAATATTTCCTAGGCCAAAAAACTATGATATCGACAGGGTAGTTAGTTCGTTCCATCTGTATGTTTAGCTATCTATGCCTCGACAACACGTATATTAAATCACTATGTCCTTTAAAATATCGTGGGCTTTTACCAAGCAGATGAGAACACATGTTATGACTAACGATTTTTTTTATCACAGCAATCACGCTTTAGACAAATCTGTATCTTGATCAAAGTAAATGAATATAGGAGTTATCTAAATTTCTTCTCTGATATTAAGGTTTTTTGAAATTTCGCGCAATTTTCTGTACCGTGTAATAGTAAATTCAGTAATTTCTCAGAAATTATTGTGCGAAAGCTGATGACGTTCGAAAATTTCCTGATATTCACGTCCTCATGTACTAGTGTTTTCCGTAATTACCAATAAATTTCCCTTTGGAGAGTCGGTATTTACGGAAATTATCCGATATTTTGGTTCTATACTATGAGTAATTACCGAAGTTTCCAGGAAATTTCTTTATTTTGATTATGGTTGATTTAGAATAATATTACAGTAGTTACAGTAGTTTTCGATATTTTCTGAAACTTGCATTTTGTATGGTTGCAGCTTTTGAAATATGATCACTTAGCAGGGAAATTTTCATTTTTTTTTGGAAATCTGTCCACGGCTGAACGAATGGTAGTGGATGTATAAAGGGTGTTTCATAATAACTGAGGATAAATTGTTAATGATATTTTTTTATACTTTTTCTTGACATAAAGAGCTGAAGTTTTTATCATATATACATCTAATCAAGATCTTTTATTTATCAAAGTTTCAGTTCTCTTGCTATAACTAGTGGTGAAATATATCGACAAGATTGAAATACTTAAATTTTTATACTGGATTTCTGCATTATTTTCACTGTCAAAATAAAATTAATCTTGTCGACGTATTTCACCACTAGTTACAGCTAGAGAGCTGAAACTTTCAGAAATAAAGGATCTTGATCAGATATATATGTAATAGAAATTTTAGCTCTCTATGTCAAGAAAAAGTATGAAAAGCATCATTCACAATTTATCCTCAGTTATTATGAAACACCTTTTATGGAATATGACAATTCCATTCTATCGACACAATTTTCTGCCAATGAAATTTCAAAAAGTAATGAAATTGTTACTTATTTAACATAGAAACAACTGTAAACTCATAAGAAGAAAAACATTTCACCTTCTGAAGTATCAACAGTTTTACTTGTTACTTACCACTCTCAGAAAGAGCAATAACATTTTAATAACTAATAAATTACCATAGTTTTTTCAGGTTGATTTTGCTACATTTTTAAATAAAAAAACTAGAAGACCTTCATCTTCAAAAGCATCAGTAGTTTTAGTAATAAACAAGCACTTTCATATATTAAAATGAAATTTCAGTAAATAATAGAATTACTTTTTTTTCTAGATAGATATCACTACCTTTCTAACAAAAAAAGAGATCTGTTCTCAAGAATATTAGCAATCTTAGAAATGGCTGAGCATTTTAGTATACTTTAAGGAAAGCACAACCCTTATTTAACGTATATCTTCATTGAAGTGTGATTTAAAAAAAAAGACTCTAACCTTTTTAATACAACTAAGCTAGTTCGTTTTTGAGAAATTTTGGTAAATATTAAAGTTATTACACCTTTCTCAATGACTGTTTCGTGTGACTGATTTATATTTGTCTTAGAAAAATAATTAATGGAGAGCTTTTCATCGTCCTCACTTCACACGTTAGTGACCGAAAATAGAGAAACATCAGATTCCTTTCTTAGGTGTTGGACTATATAAGGCTAAGCATTCATAAATAGTAACCATGCAAATAAACTGGTTAAGAAAGCAAAAACATAGAGCAACTTAGGAATCAAATTTTTTATACAGAATGCATTATCCACTGAAAATGAAGTATTTTACCATACCGAACCTTTCGTTTCAAAACTCAAAATCCTAAAAAAAGGGTTTTATAAACGCCTCAGACACCTTCAAAATGATTCTCAACACTAAAGAAAACCTTTTGCGTAGATTTCATGGCAAAGTCGAAGGCTCTCGTTGGCTCCATATGAAATCTTGTCTTTTTTTCTCCGTGTATGAATCTCTAAGACAACTGTCCGATAAATGAAAACTCGAATAGATCTAAGCACTTAGTTGCATCTTCGAAAACTACCTTGTCTTCTTTCTTATTTATGATTTGTAACGCAGAATACACTTGAGAAACAAATCAGTGCTTAAGACAATTTTATAAAAACGATTGTTTCTCTTAGCATACATATCACTACTCGTTATTTGTTTATAACCTCAAATAGCTTGAAACACCGCTATTTTATAAATGAATTCGATTGCATAGGTGTGAATGTTTTCTTGCAAAAAGCTATTTCTCAATAGAAAATTACAAATCTATTGGGAAAGATTTTTAAATTAAATGTTTATTGTTATGTTCTAATTTCAACAAGGACAAGTAATGAATTCGACATTATAGAAAATAGAGGCGTGCGAGGACGCGGCCTCAAAACATGAAATTTTGGTCCCGTACATGTTTGTCGTCGACGAGAAAAATAAAGAGTACGAGTATTTACGGACTATTCACGACTCAAGACAGATAGATTCTATGACAGCTTCTCTAAATCCGAGAGAGTAACAGAAAAAACACAGGGATTTTATATTCTCATTCATTTTTTAAAAATCACATCATCAAAACTGTGTTTTCGGATTTAATAAATTATAAATGTAAATTCATCACTCCTAAGAAAAAGTTAAGTCCCTAAGACCATGACTAGGATAAAAAAAAGTCGATCTCGCATATCTCTAGTCGCAAAAAAACCATGTTTATTTCTTAATTATGAAAAATCACCATCAGCACGTCAAGTCACACGCATAGCCATATGCGACGTCAAACAAGGAGAAAGAAAGAAAGAAAAGAAAAGGTGAAAAACCTACGTATATAGCTATATATTACTCATTATTTTCCATATCGTTTCAACCAATCGAAAATTGACGTTTCATCGCATTTTTTCAGCTAAATTTTTTTTCGCATTTCAAAGCATTCATATATGTAAAACCCTTACAGAATCGTTAGCTTTATAATCAGTGCTCTCTTACTATTGTGGACACGCTGAAACAGTCAATATCAGTCACAATATTAATTTCGTTTTCGAGTTCAGCTTTTTATTAAAGTTATTACCATAAAAATAATTATTCAAGAGATAGCTTAACCAATAGGAAAGTTGGTGACGTCAGAATTTCCTGCGACAAGATTACGTAGCCATTTTAGTATCACAATTGATCTTTTGAAAGATTTAAATTATTAATTTATAGGCAAAGCCAATAAAAAAAAATCGACAAAGGAAAAGAAAACACATCAAAACGTTAATTATCATGAAACATCGATGGCAAGGGTGTCCTCGAAATCATATATAGATATTGTTCGCGTGATAGTGCTCTTTATTTCACTTTAAAAGATCCTTCATTGAAGTCTTCAACTTTTTATATTAGGACAGCGAATTAATGGCGTGGAGTCGACTGAAGTCTTTGTGGGATGCTTTTCTTCGTCTCAATCTTTTTGAAAAATACTCGAGTAATGCACACAGTGTTTCTAGAGAACGGCACGCAACACGTATCTACATTGTATCATTCATTTGTCTCCTTCTCTGTATTGGAATGGTTTCTGCATTTATCCCTCGAACAGAAAATGTTATTGGATATTCACTTCCATATGTTAAATTCACACATTTGGTGAAAAAGTATCCAAATACTCTTAAATGTCGATGTTCGAAAATTGGGGTTGCTTATGAAACCTTTGTGAAAGTTCATGTCAATTTTCATCAAGTATGTTCAAGTCAATTTATCAAACAAGATTGGATTGATTCAATATTTGTGGAAAGAAATACAACGTCATCAACTACATCGAATATTCAATCATATTTTAGTTTTTTTTGGCAAGTAATTGCAGGCTTTTGCGTTGTTAGTAAGAGTACATGGATAGATGCTATCGCAAACTTTAATGCATCACGTGTCCTCACTCCGATGGCAGTTGCTGAAGAAGTTCTTCGTAGTCAAGCTCAAGAAGATCTTAGGAATCATATTTATTCAGCTCAAACAAATATGGCTCAGAGTTTACTTGCTCTTCGACGAACAACAGCTGGAAATCAATTTGTATCTGCATTGGGAACTAACTTTTATCTTTGTTATTGGCCATCAATCTTGGGAAACTGGAATAATCCGAAAATGTTACCAGTAGTATTCAATAATTGCTCCTGTTTGAATATTAATGGATGTCCACGTCCAATTCTCATCAGTACGAGTGAATATCAATCGGTAGCAGTTCCAGGAATGATAATCGATTGTTTAATTGTTGATGCAACGCTAGCTTCTACACTAGAATGTTACTATGATCCAACATGTTTTCGTCTTTTACATAATGAATCAACTGCAACAGTAAACTTATTATTGAATGACTCAAACAAATATTTTAAAGTGAATTCTACTGTACAAAATCTCCTCGATTATTTAATGATTGATGAGTTGAATACTGAAATCATGTTCGATTCATTTTATGAACAATGTAATCCTGCTTATTGCACGTACTCATATACACATCGTTTTTCTACATTGTTTATTATTACGACAATAATTGGTAGTTTTGGAGCATTATCTTTTGTTTTGCGTCTCCTGGCACCATTTCTTGCACAAGTAATTCTTCGTTGGAAAACCAGAGGCGTTTCAAATGAACGCATTGCAGAGAATGTCACGAATTCGGCACCTAGACGTAAGTGAAAAGAAAGTTATGAAGATAAATTGAGTCGCAATAGTTTCAGTTTATTTAAATTATAATTAGTAATAGTTGCTTGGTCTCTTTCGGATACCACCATTGTCTGTTAAGAAGATTTCAGCAGTGTGCATATTTAAGTTTTGAACTTCGTTAAGTCACTGGCAATAATACGATTGTACCTGTAATGGAACACAGCAATATTACCATATCTTTATAGTAGCATACGGTGCGTAAACAGATAATCGAGCTAATGCTACTGTTATACAGTATATAGTAACCCACTGTGATTGACTTAGACGTTAAGAAAATTGATAAATACGGTCTTTATATGTGCGCATTTCAATATATTCAGAATGTCACTTTCCATAGACTATACCTCATATTTCATCTCCGTTATGGAAAATATTCTTTCTTTCATAATATTCCGTTCTCGAAATTTTCAAAACAACGCAAAGAAGGATAGGAGAACAGTCGATTGCAAACGTATTCAAATATAACAAAGTCAACGACAATTACGTTGCTTGAAACTATTTCATATATCTGCGATTCACGTCTTAATTTAGTGCGGAGGACTAAATTCAAAGTTTCTCTAATTCTCGTACACGATATTTAAAAAGCCCTTGCAAAAAACTTCCTTTAATAACTCTTATACAACTTAAGTGATTTCATATAATCTACAGTATGTTCTTTAAAGTTTGGTGTTGTTATTTTCTCATAGATATGTGTGTTTGCAAACACTAAAACAAAAACACTTATACGAAGTTCATAATTATTTGAATATAAAAGCACAATCGACTTTTCGAACTATTACAACAAGTGCACATTGAGTTATGATTGAATATTTTCCAATGATATCGTGCAACGTGTAATTTGTCTAACTATATCAAAAAGACTTCTAAACCCTGATCGTGAGTGGAAATATACAGAATATTCTTGAAAAACATTAGCATTCAAGAAAAATTTTCTTTTTCCGACGCATCAATGTTTCATCTGAATGAGTTAATCAATTAACGTAAGATTAGATTTCGATGTCAACATGATCGACATGCAATTATTGAAACCGTTATGAATTCTCATAAATCGGAGACTGCATTTAACATTGTCATTGACAAAACTGTTTTTATTGCTATGTTAACAAGCACAAATATTCATAAGAAAATACACAAAACAAAGTTTTAAAGAGCATACTACGGATTGAATCATTTGAGTTATATGAGAGTTATTCACGAAAACTTTTCGTATAGACTTTGGTACACTCTATATATTCAATTTCGTAGGCTTCAAATGTTTCATTTTCAATTTAAATATCTCTTAGAATTAACAGTGATCAATCGTGTTCGGCATTTACCAAACTTCGCATATCAACAACTTAGTACATTGAATATATTCGAAAGTAAAACAATACGAACACGTACAAATTTAACACGTGAATATTTCTTAACACGACTCTTCACATGCATATTCATCATTGGCTCGATTGGAATTGGCTTTTACATATTTATATCTGAACAAAATCAGGTCGTAACAATCATGCATCTATCTTTAGAAACCTATGAAAATCTGTTCAATGAATATTCAACTTCGATACAATGTCCTTGTTCGCAAGCCTCCGTCCCCTATGGAGCATTCATAAATGTAACATTTGTCTTACATCAAGTGTGCTCAAGTGATCTAGTTTCACCAAGTTGGTTACATTATTTGGCGTCCTTTAATCCAACTCTTATACCTGCTTGGACGGAAACAGAGTTTTCACGTGATTTTCGTCTTGAAGGTGTTTCGTATTTTCAGCTTTTGGCCACGTTTTGTTCTTTAGCTAAAATCAATATTGAAGATGGCCAACGTATTTTTACCAATACACAATTCGTCAACGATCAACTTCTATCTCGATCAATCTTTGTTCAACAAACCGAAGCGCTGGCTAAATCATTTATCAATAAAACACGTAACAATTTTGCACGTATTTTAAATTGGATTGATATTGCTGGTAGT